CACATACAAACAAACATGTTGTGTCTGCCAAAAACTAAAAAATAAATATTAAAATTCTCTCTCTCTCTTTAAAAAAAATGAGTGAATTAAATTTGCAATTACCAAGGAATAAAGGAATTCCCATTTTAATATATTTTAAATTTTTATGTGAGACTACTGTCAAGAAATATCTTTTATGGTATCCTGCCCTTTTTCTGATGTTAGCATTTTGTATTTTATGTCTTCTTAAGATAAATTTTTAATATTTTTGAAACCCTTACATTTATTATGTATTATTTCTCATGATGGTGTTCTTCATTCCATATTTATTTAAAAAGGTATATACTTTTTGAAATATTGTATTCATAACATTAGAAAGCTAAAAGTAAACTGAAATCACTTCATTGAAGAAGTGGGAAATCCTGGGCTGGGGTGGTGGCTTAGCGCTAGAGTGCTCACCTAGCACGTGTGAGGCCCTGGGTTCAATCCTCAGCACCACATAAAAATAAATAAACAAAATAAAAATATTGTGTCCAACTACAACTAGAAAATATTTTTTTTAAAAAAAAGTGGGAAATCCTGATGATAGGTTTAAAAAGGAATCACTTGGTTTCTTAAAGACATTGAGTTACAAACATATTTAATTAAATATTTTCATTTGATTAAATATCAAATATCTTAGTGAATATTAATGAAGACTTACTTATATTTTAAATCCATTGTTTTGCAACAATTGGTGCACATTTTATAAGGTATTGCATGATACTTTGGTAGGCAAAAAAATCCAAAGAATAAAAACCATTCATCAAAAACTTCCTTATGTTCCATGAACTTGAGAGACTAAATATATTGCAATTGTCTGGCTTCAGAAATGCTCTCCAATATTGAGATTGAATTCCCTTGGAAAATAGTTGCAATAAATTTTCACTTGATACATTCAGCTACTCAATGAAATTAGATGTTAGAATTTATAGTATAACTTGTGCAAATTATAGTTTTCTTGCAAGGGTGAAGACAGAGAGAATATGCAGTATATTCTTGTACTTGCTGTTCAGCTTTTAACTGGATACATAAACTAGTAGTGATCTGATCAGAAGGAAAGTAGGGCAACATTTCAATTTGAAAGGAAGCTGTAATGATCTGAAATACTGTTCTCTTTGTACACTTGGATTTTGCCAAAGCTATAGAAGGGAAAATCTAAAACAGGAAAGGAACACTGTAGGGGCAATGAATTTCTCCATTAGAAAATGAAACCCATTTTTCTTCTGTGAATGAAGGAACACAATTTACATATAGTTTATGAAAATACTGAAATTGCAAGATAGAATGTGACTTTTTTTTTCCCCCGGTAACAAGGATTGAACCCAGGGGTGCTTAACCATTGAGCAACATCCCTAGCCCTTTTTAAAAATACTATTTATTTATTTATTTATTTATTTATTTTTATTACTGGTTGTTCAAAACATTACAAAGCTCTTGACATAACATCTTTCATGCATTTGATTCAAGTGGGTTATGAACTCCCATTTTTACCCTGTATACAGATTGCAGAATCACATCAGTTACACATCCATTGTTTTACATATTGCCATTCTAGTGTCTGATGTATTCTTTTGCCTTTCCTATTCTCTACCATCCCCCCTCCCCTCCCCTCCCCTCCCATCTTCTCTCTCTACCCCATCTACTGTAATTCATTTCTCCCCCTTGTTTTTTTCCCTTTCCCCTCACTTCCTCTTATATGTAATTTTGTATAACAATGAGGGTCTCCTTCCATTTCCATGCAATTTCCCTTCTCTCTCCCTTTCCCTCCCACCTCTCATCCCTGTTTAATGTTAATCTTCTTCTCATGCTCTTCCTCCCTGCTCTGTTCTTAGTTGTTCTCCTTATATCAAAGAAGACATTTGGCATTTGTTTTTTAGGGATTGGCTAGCTTCACTTAGCATAATCTGCTCTAATGCCATCCATTTCCCTGCAAATTCCATGAATTTGTCATTTTTTAGTGCAGAGTAATATTCCATTGTGTATAAATGCCACATTTTTTTTTATCCATTCATCTATTGAAGGGCATCCAGGTTGGTTCCACAGTCTAGCTATTGTGAATCGTGCTGCTATGAACATCGATGTAGCAGTATCCCTATAGTATGCTCTTTTAGGATCCTCACGGAATAGTCTGAGAAGGGGAATAGCTGGGTCAATGGTGGTTCCATTCCCAGCTTTCCAAGGAATCTCCAAACTGGTTTCCAAATTTGCTGCACCAATTTGCAGTCCCACCAGCAATGTACAAGTGTACCCTTTTCCCCACATCCTCGCCAGCACTTTTTATTGTTTGACTTCATAATGGCTGCCAATCTTACTGGAGTGAGATGGTATCTTAGAGTGGTTTTGTATTGCACTTCTTTGACTGCTAGAGATGGTGAGCATTTTTTCATGTACTTGTTGATTGATTGTATGCCCTCTTCTGAGAAGTGTCTGTTCAGGTCCTTGGCCCATTTGTTGATTGGGTTATTTGTTATCTTATTGTTTAATTTTTTGAGTTCTTTGTATACTCTGGATATTAGGGCTCTATCTGAAGTGTGAGGGGTAAAAATTTGTTCCCAGGATATAGGCTCCCTATTTACCTCTCTTATTGTTTCTCTTGCTGAGAAAAAAATTTTTAGTTTAAGTAAGTCCCATTTGTTGATTCTTGTTATTAACTCTTGTGCTATGGTTGTCCTATTAAGGAATATGGAGCCCGACCCCACAATATGTAGATTGGAGCCAACTTTTTCTTCTATCAGGCGCAGAGTCTCTGATTTGATATCAAGCTCTTTGATCCATTTTGAGTTAACTTTTGTGCATGGCGAGAGAAAGGGATTCAGTTTCATTTAGTTGCATATGGATTTCCCGTTTTCCCAGCACTATTTGTTGAAGATGCTATCCTTCCTCCATTGCATGCTTTTAGCCCCTTTATCAAATATAAGATAGTTGTAATTTTGTGGATTGGTCTCTGTGTCCTCTATTCTGTACCATTGGTCCACCCGCCTGTTTTGGTACCAGTACCATGCTGTTTTTGTTACTATTGCTCTGTAGTACAGTTTGAAGTCTGGTATCACTATTATTTAGAGGCAGGGTCTCATTCAGTTGCTTAGGGCTTTGTTAAGTTGCAGAAGCTTGGTTTGAACACATGATCCTCCTGCCTCAGCCTCCTGAGCCATTGGTATTATAGGTGTGCATCTTTGCACCTAGCTAATGTGACATCTTTTAACAAATGAATATTGGTAAGGGTAAAAGGAGTGAACTAGCTATTAACATATATGTATATACTTAAATGTAAAATTAAATATTAATTTAAATAAAGATTAGAGTTTTAGATTTAATTGAAGTATTTCTTTCTGTTAGTGTATATTATTAAAACAAGACTCCAGAAATTCTAAACTCAACCACTGCTTATGTGTTATATTATAAATAATTAAGTCATTCCATATATTCTGAATATCAGTTAATATGGACTATTCCCTGCACATATTAAAATAGATTTCCTCTCCAACTTCTCATCTTCTTTCTTTCCAAAGATGATATGTTGTGTGAGTATAATAAAATCAATTTCCAAAATAATTTAATTTCTTTTTCTATTTAACTAACTGTTAAGGTCACAGTTTATTAAATTTAGATTACAAAAATATATATGTTTACTGAAAGTTCTAGCTAAAGGTCAATGGGAAAATTAAAGCAAGACTTTTCAGAAATGTAAATATTAAAATTTTATTGTAATGAACAAAGTTATGATATTCTCAGAGTTTTTAATTCATTTTGCAACGTTTATTTAAGATTTTACATAAAATTGAGGAAGCTGGCTTGACATAGAAGAGAAAAATAAAATATACAATTCAACAGAAATACCTCACTCTCATGTCAATATTGCAATATTATTATAATGATTATTTTAGTCTCATAATCATTATCAGTATTAGTATATATTGTGTTGCATTAACTGTTTCAAAGGCTTATAAGCATACGAACTGCATGAATTTAATACTTAAAATATCTTAAGATAGATGTTTTTACCCAACATGTTGTTATATGAAGTAATACTTAGAGTCAAGTCGTTCAAAGCCCTAAAAAAATGATGGGTTTATCTTGTGAAGAACACTAGATAAAGAGTGAAGAATCTTGGGTATTATTAATTATTTTCTGCCCATGTCCAAAACTAGATAGGTAGGTGGGTATCTTGTGTATTATGTTTCCAGTGAGTGGATAAAAGCTGAGTTCCTTCTGCCCAGGTCTTATTTGGTACTATTTAAACAATTCTGGATGCTTACTATTTATCTGTTTTTACAGATTAGCAAACTGAGGTTTGAGAGCTTGAGCAGTTTCCCAAAATATATATTTATAAGTAGTGGATATAGGAATTAAAGCTAGATCTATTTTAGAGCCAAAAGGTCAGGTTCATTTTATTATCCTAATCTTATTCCCACAATTTTGTATCATGTTAACTATTCTTCGTAAAAGTTAGTCTCTAGAATCAAAATATCTCCACTAACACCAAAGAGTTTTAATGGTTCTAATAAATGACTAGTGTTCCAAATAGAAAATTCCATTGCAACTTGTGGTTTATAGCCTAACTTCATTTCTCATTAGTGGTTGATGATGTATGTCAGGCTTGTCCTAAAAAAAAAAAAAAAGCTCCGCTTTCCTACCCAGAGTAATGAAGACACAAATCCATTTTATGATTATGAAAAATTTTGAACTGTATATGTTTTACTATTTTTAGGTCAATATTTATATTAAAGGTGAATCATTCTATTAGTTAAAAACTTCTCCAAGGCCTGGCTCGTGTACCAGGCATTTATGTTACCTTAAAATGATATGGGCATAATACTTTGATTGAAAATCATACTTTATGTATTGAAATAAAACTTAAAACTTACTTGATAAATTGATAAATTAAATATATATATATATATATATATATATATATATATATATATATATATATATATATATATATGTAAATCAAATATATATAAATATATATACTTAATTTATCAATATATATATTTTACATACATACATATATATTATAGTAACTGGTAGCCTTGGGCAATGAAGGATACTAGAAGACTATAAATGAGAATATTCTATTGATTGGATATTCATTACTCTATTTCAATTTATTTTTGTGTCAATAAAGAATGGAAATTTGGAAATGGATATGTGACTCCCTCAAAAAAAAAGTGCTATGTTGAATACTAAACGAAATGTTTCCTTTCTCTTTATCATTGAAGTGGAGGAGCTAATTGTTCCTCACTCCCTCAGTTGTAAATGTTCTCACAGCTCCACTGCCATTTCAAGGTGCAAATGCACACAAAGATGCAGCTTCAAAAGTCATCCTGTACCAAAGGAACAAGGGGACACTGTGAGCTGAAAGATGGATGTTGCCAGCAATATGAAGTGCTGAATTTAATTGGAACCAAAGCTCAGAGGAAATATTCAAAATTAAATGTACACAATCTTGAAGTCTTATTTAATTTACCTACACAGAAATATTATTTTTTCTTTTGGATTGTCACCATCACCTTATTTTTGTATACATTGTTAGCACACAGTGATAGATTACAGAGCTCATATAGTGTCATTCATTTAACTGTAATAAGATTTCTTGAAGGAAAAGGAGAATATTTTCTTGATTTAGGAAATATCCATGTCTCCTTCAATTATACAGCATTGAATGGAGAAATAAGTTACAGTACCCAGAATGTTAGTATAAAGCAATGATGTTAGCACAAAGTATTTCCCATTGGTTCAAAAAGATTAGTAATTTGTGCTTTTTAAACTAGATAGCCACAATAGAAACTTAGAACATTTTTTTGAAATGCTTTGTTTTCATTAAATTTCTGAAAACTTCCAAATGTGACAGAATATTACAATTCTATACTTGAAACTATTCTTAATGACATCAATTGTCAACAAATGTCAAGAATAGTTATTGCTTGTTTGACTGCCAAACATAAACATAATTTTTAAAAATTAGTTTAGCTAACTGATATTTTGAGTGATATTATAGCAATGATAATGCAGATGTTGTTTTTTTTTCCTTTGTAAAATAGTTTAAAAAACAATTTATGGCTCAAATAATCAAAGATAATCACATTTGAAATTTAGAAATCTAAATGTTGTTCATCCCAATAGAAAAGCAAAATTTCCATGATTTTTAAACATCTTCTGGTAAAAACATTCCAGATATTATTGCCTGCAATTATAGAAGCAACTTATAAGCCAAAAAATAACCCTCATTCATTAATATATTATAAACTGAAGGGACATTTGTCATTCAGTTCATGGTTTGTTGTCAAACTTGATTTGAGCCACCATGATATCAGTTTGGTTAGAACACAGGCAATGTTGCCAATTATTTGCAGGCCATATCACCATATATAACATAACTGAAGGTTGTTCAGATGAGAGATTTGACCAATTGTACTGAAGCAAGATTGCGCTGTTTCCCATATTTGTGAAAGCAAAGAAAGAGCTCCAACAATCATGTGCTGAACATAGATTAGAGGAAAAACACAAACCAAAATAGAACAAGAACACCACCTCAATCTTTCTGTTTAGAGTCACTTCTCTTATTCCTCTGGTCTGTTTGCTGTAAACTCAAAACCTTGTTCCTGTTACTAAGGAAGGAAGCTACTCCTTTTTGCATGCTGGTATGTATCTTATTCCTGTTTTCATTTGCAGCCCTTCTCCGTTACAGATGCTTAAATTTAGAAAAGGTATGTGGTTTCTTGTCCTTTTCTATGCATTTTTCTTTCAGAATCTAAAAATGTAAATTCATTGTACTCACCATAGCCTCTATATGTAAAGGTGGGTAGGTTCCTTAACTTATACACTTTGTAATTTAGTCTCTTCATCTGCAAAATGGAGAAAATACTAGTATTTATCATCACTAGTTAGCATTTTTATAGAGCCTATTATATATTGTTTCCAGTTCAGAGTAATTTATCACATGCTAATTTATTTATTCTTCATAATATTCTTATGAGAAATTTAGAAGAGGAAACAGATATAGAAAGTTTTGGTAACTTACAAAATGTTGCACAACCTGTTAGTGTCAGAGGCAGAATCTGAATCTAAACAGTCTGACTCAAAGTCCTTCCTTCATCTTAACCAAAATTTTATTCTATTTTTCATAAGACATTTTTAAATATTAAAGAATATAAGCCAGGAGCCATAGCTTATGCTTGTAATTCCAGTTACTTGAGAAGCTGAGAACAAGAACTGCAAGTTCAAGGCCTGTCGAGACCCTGTTTCAAAAGAAAAAAAAAAAAAGGACTGGGGACATACCTCAGTAGTAAAGCACTTGGTTTAATCCCTAGTACTGCAAACACATGTGCACATTCACACACACACACACACACACACACACATATACATATTCATAGGTATAAAATTTTGATGGGAATACTTCCTGGAACATTACAAAATACTCAATAGTTATTGGCTACTATAATCATTACTCTTCAGATATTTCAGATACTTCTTACGATTGAAGAAATAAATGGTGTCTATTCATTATTTTTCACTTCTTCTGCAACAATATTTACAAGATACACTTGTAAATTTTTATTTTCAATTTCACATATTTTTTTCTTCTCAGTAAGTTATACTTCTGTATACATAGCTTTTGTTTATTTTACTTATTTGTTTTATTGGTATTTAATTTCAAGAAGCTGTGGTTTTTATCTTTCATTGATATGTTCACTATTTTTTCACTGTTCTAATTGCTAAATAAGATATGTATGATTAATAAGACATGTCTCAGATCATTTTTAGGGGCCATAGAGCTATGCACATTTGTACTGACTTCTGTAATATCCTTGATATTTTCTAATTAACTCTTCAGATTTTTTTTATATTAAATTGTTTGCCCCATGGTTCTGTGGTATTTCTAAAATTCAGTGATTATGTTTTAAAGGTCAAAAACTTCTGAACTCATATTTTTTCTCTTATTGATTTCTGTATTTCTTTTATAAATGCAGTTTCCTTATGTCTCTTTCTGAGTTTATTGAATTGGTGATAATATAATGTTTCTCTGTCTCCATCTTTCTTCCCTAATAACTAAATTCCCAAGTTTTAATTCCTTTTAAATAAAATCTGTGTGACCTATATGTTCCCTGAATTTAGAAGATGAAATTAATTCTGACAGATTATAGTGAACTCTTGTTACGCTTTTAGGCCTACATAAAAAATGAAGGGTAAAAATCAAGGAACATTTTCATTTTGAGCTGCCAGAATAGAGATTTTATAGTTTGTGGAAAGTAAAATGGGAGGCACAGCTGACCCAGTTATGGCAGAGAGTTTGTTGTGGCTGCTCCAAATGATTTGTTGCAGTCTCTCAACACCTTACACATCTAGCACCATGGCTCTGTGAGAAGTAAACCTTTTAATAGTACTTTGAGGACAAGGGGAAAACGTGTATTTTATACTACAGGGAACATGCATTTTTACAGTGGAAGGTGGAAATTGTTTTAGTCAGCTTTTTTCGTTGCTGTGAATAAATGACCTAACAAGAACAACAGAGGAGAAAAAGTTTATCTTAGTTCATGGTTTCAGAGATTCAGAGATTGGATTATTCCTTAGCTCTGGCCTTAGGGGAAGCAGAATATCATGGTGGAAGGGGGATGTCACGAGGGGGCAAAATTGCAATTGAGGAGAGAAATAAAGTATGTTCATCGTCTTTTGCCCCTTTCAATGCTTTATTCACTCAAATTACTCAATACAATTTCACTCTATAAGTTCTTAATAAGAAAACAACAATCCTTAAGGTTAGGCACTGTAATAGACATAATCAATTCACAGCAAACAATTCTAGATTAATTAATTCACAGCAAACAATTCTAGATTAATTCTAAGCACAGCAAACACACTTAATCACAACAGCTAATGACAGACATTCGCTCTGCTTGCTACATTCCAAAGTCTTAAGCCTTAGGCTTTATGTCCAGCAGATGCACACTCACTCAGACCACGGTGATCAGGTCAGGAACCAAGGCAGGCTTTTCCTGGCATGGAGTGGATGACCCATTGAGGAGAGGGTCCGACAGAGAAGTTGCAGCTCTCATCAAGGTCCAGAGGAGGCTGCAGAGTTTGAGAGTGGTGAGGATCATGCAGAGGATCAGGAAACATGACAAGTGATGGGATGTCAGTCTAGGTCCTCATCAGGTTCTGCAGCTTGAGTGCATCCTTGTTTCGGCTGGCTGAATCCCTGTTCACCAGCTCTATTATTTATACTAAATTTGGGGGCTTCTGACCCCCCCCCCTTGGAATCCTTATCAGCTACCACCAGTTTTCTCCATGACATCAATTACCCTCTGTTTAGAAACATCTGGTCTGGTGATCTCCACCCTTATCTTCTCCATTTTCCTCTTATCAGGAGAGGACAGCCTGCCAGAGGCTTCACTCTGTTTATCAGAATGAGGGGAAGTAACTTGTTTGAGGCCATAAAATTGTTCTGTTGGATGTGCCTGGTAAGACTGCAGGTTTCAAACTGGAGTCTTTAAAATGGAGTTGCTTAGGCTCAGGCCTAAGGCCATCCTCACAGGGGAAATGGAGAAAAGACTCAGGATCTGGCAACCCAGAAGCACGGAGAGAGCTCCACACATGTGGAACAAAAGGTATACCCCAAAAGCCCACCCCCACTGACCTATTTCCTCCAGCCACATCCTACCCACAGTTACCCCCCAGTTAATGTATATCAGAGGATTAATCCACTGATTAGCTCACACATCTCATAACCTAATCATTTCACCTCTGAAAATTCTTGTGTTATCTCACATATCAGATCTTGGGGGACACCTAATATCTAAATGATAATAGTTATGAAATTTGATATTTGGCCCCACCGAGTGATTCAGAATCAAAACTTACAGACATATTCTTTCATATTACAATGTTAGTTATCACTAGCTTTATTTCTAACTCCCACTCGGGGAATGTCTTTAACTTACATTCAAGGCAGCATATCTCTCCATATTCTTTTTTATTGGTAGTGTGCCACAGGGATATACAAGCGCAAATATGTGTTTAATCTTTAGGAGTTTAATCAACAACTCGACTCGCATTTAGAGGCTAATATTTCCTTATAATATATACTGGTAAAATTTTAGAAAACAGAAATGAGAGTAATAAGCAAATATTTATGAAAGCTTCTGGTGCAATCAGGTTAATGGAAGCTGGCTCCACTAGCTGCAAGGCACTGAACATTCCCCTTGGCATACATGAGCGTATGTAAACAATTTGTATAAGTAAAATTTATAAGTTTCCTTCTGCTTTTAAAATTCTGTAAGACTCAAAATCTTGTGCACTGAGTTCAGCAGAAGCAGCATAAAATCTGAGACCAGAGGAACTTGTCTGAAGTACTGTTCTTTCTCTGTCTGTTCCTTAACTTCTGCTCTGAGGGAGGATATCTCCTGCTATTTATTTACAGGTAGACGACATTTAACAGATAACTCATATTATCTATGACCTTAAGAAAACCCAGAGTAGTATAATTGCTATATCATTCATATCCAAGAAATCCCTCTACCTTTTTTTGATCTTCTGGTTGGACTCACACGGCCTCCAGGACATTTTACACTCTACTGCCTTTTTTATTCCTCACGGCATTTATCATGTTGCAACTCTTCCTTATCCTACTGCAAAAGATCCTGTTTCTTGATATCCGACTGAGTATTGACTTACCATAGAATAAACTTTTAAGCTTGGGCATTTCTTAATTCTCTGAACCCTTCAGGGTCAGGGCATGGAGTGTAGTACACTATAAGAATGTTCCATGACTGTAAGATTAATGAGAACCATAAGGTCCATCCAAGTGTTTTGCCTGGCTAATGCTGTGTGTTACTCTGCAGCGAGATGCTACCTAGCATAAACCCTAAAGGAAAGCAAACCTTTATCAGGATAGTGCAAAGGTTAGTTTTAGATGTCAATTTTAGATGACTAGCTTAAGGGATGCCTGGTGAGGTATTGTTTCTGGGTGTGACTTCAAGAGTTATTTTTGGATGAGACTTCATGTGAGCCAGGCAGTCTGACAGTCTGTACTAATAGAGGGAGATCCATCCTCAATGTAAGCAGGTAGCATCCAATCAGCTAAAAGTCTGAGTGGAGAACAAGACAGAAGAAGGGCAAATTCCCCAAATCTTCTCCCCACTAGGATAGGGTGCTCTTTTCCTGCCATCACAGATCAGAACTCCAGGTTCTTCAACCATTGGACTCTGAGACTTATTTCATCAGACTTTCAGAATTCTTGGGCTTTCAACATTGGACGGAGAGTTACATTATCAGTTTCCTTGGTTCTTTGGCCTTTCAACTTGGACTGAGCCATGATTCTCTAATGGCTTCCAGATGGCCCATAGCAGGATTTATGCTAATTAACAATCTGAATACATATAAAAGAAAGAGGGAATGGTCCTTCAACCCTTGAAAATGGTGTCCAGATGGAGAGCCTCCAAGTGCATCCTCTGATCCTGTGTAACTGGCCCATGTTACCAGACTGTTACTGGTATGTATTCAGTAAGAACACTGCCAGAATTGATAGGTTGAGAACCAGATGGTGCTAAAGACTCATCTCTTATATCAGTCAAACAGAAGGAGAAAAGTCATCCCTGAGGAACCTGATTAACTAGGACCACCAAAATCTCTGAGCATGGGGGATTCTTCAATATGGATATATATTGACAAAGAATATAAAAGAGTCAGGAGATTAAAGACTAACATGGACATTTGTGGATTTTTAAATTCTGTCTTGTTCTCCTATCTCTGTTTCTCATCATTATAAAGTGTTAGAGTCTGCCTAATTTAAGTTGGAGTACCTTTGAGAGTACAAATATACACAAAAACACAGGACTCTTTTCCCAGTTTGTTTCTGGCATAAGAGCATTGTCTAGTTATTTTACAAAGGGAGGAAAAAGAGGGAAATTATTGTATTTATTATGTTCTCATTTGGCATCACTTTGATTTTATTATTTTAAAAATAATTACTAATTTTAGGTAATGTTTTTCCAAATTTTATATATGAAATTTTGAATTAAGTTTGGTTCTTTAACCAGCAACTTTTATATATTTAATAAATTGCAGCTTCAAATGCTCTAAAAAAATAGAATTACTGTGTCTGTTATATACATCATCCAAGAAAAAACTTCATTTTCAACAGTTTTGGTGACAAATAACGTTTGGATTTTAATGAATTTTAATTTTTAATGTAGATCTAATGAATATATTTACACATATGTGTCTATGATAATAAACATATACAAATACTAGAAAATCACTGATTCCTTTAATCAAAGCTTAACAAATATTTGTTAAACACATTTGTTTTAAAGTACTGAATAACTGAAGTCCAAACAAAGATTTTTAAATTCTGATTTAAAATAATAAGATTAAAAATGAATGTCATATTTCCATGGAAACCAAACAAGAGATGTTTTGTGTTGTGGATTGTTTTTTCTTTACATAAAAAATTTTAAATTTCCAGACTGAAACAAGAAGTTAAGCCTCTCACATAGAGTATCAGGAAGTAGGGGAAAAAAAAGTTAACAGATTTGTGGGGCTTTTTAAATTTAAAATGTGTGCACTTAGCCATTGAAAAACTTAAGAGATTAAAATTTGAATAATTTATCATATTGTGTCAAAGACTATTTTCAATCCAAAGGCTATAAATTTTAGCAGAGGGAGCATGGGATTAGAATTAGAATCCTCTCCTCTTGGTATTACTTTAAAAAGTTATCTTTAAAATGATTGTTATTAGTTTTTATAGCTGTAGGGATATTGATATTGATTCTATAAAGTTTCTTTTTAAGTTAAATAAGAAAATAAATATAAAAACTTGCTATAGACTTGATTTAATAAAGTTTTATTTATTTTTAGCCATCAATAAATTTTATTGCATAGAAATCAAATAAGTTTTAGATCTGGTATTGGGTTTTCTGAAGTTTATCATATATAGTTCTTTGAGAAACATGATTCTATCTATTGATGAACATTATAATATTGTATGTGATGTATACAAAGTGAGTGTAGAATTAGTGAAAGTGAAAAGCATTTTTATGTGGCTGCAATATTCAAAGACCAATTAGTTTAGGGTGTTTTCTTTGCTCTTGTAGTAATGCAAAGAAAGTTAATGCCTAAATCAACATAAAAGATAATTTCAAAAAGGTTCATGAAATGCTGTTTTCAGCAGGTACACAGGGATTGTAAGAGAGGGAAAAATGTAAGATAATTGTGTAATATAGAACCATTAGAAATGCTGTCTTCAGGGAATTTAAACTTTTTATCTTGGGCAGTTCTTTCCAAGCTTTTATTATATAAGACTATTGTATACATTACACTAAAACAGGAATAGCTTTTTTTTTTTTTTTTTTTTTTTTAATTTTTTATTGTGGGTTGTTCAAAACATTACAAATTTCTTGACATATCATATTCCACACTTTGATTCTAGTGGGTTATGAACTCCCACCTTCACCCCATACACAGATTGCAGATTCACATCAGTTACACATCCATTGATTTACAAATTGCCATACTAGTGTCTGTTGTGCTCCGCTGCCTTTCCCATCATCCACCCTCCCCCCTCCCCACCTCTCCCCTCCCCTCCCCTCCTCTCTCTCTACCCCCTCCACTGTATAACCCTGAGGGTCTCCTTCCATTACCGTGCAATTTACCTTCTCTCTCCCTTTCCCTCCCACCTCTCATCCCTGTTAAATGTTAATCTTCTTCTCCTGTTCTTCGTCCCTACTCTGTTCTTAGTTACTTTCCTTATATCAAAGAAGACATTTGGCATTTGTTTTTTAGGGATTGGCTAGCTTCACTTAGCATAATCTGCTCTAATGCCATCCATTTCCCTGTAAATTCTATGATTTTGTCATTTTTTAATGCAGAGTAATACTCCATTGTGTATAAATGCCACATTTTTTTTATCCATTCGTCTATTGAAGGGCATCTAGGTTGGTTCCACAGTCTTGCTATTGTGAACTGTGCTGCTATGAACATCGATGTAGCAGTGTCCCTGTAGCATGCTCTTTTTAGGTCTTTAGGGAATAGACCAAGAAGGGGAATAGCTGGGTCAAATGGTGGCTCCATTCCCAGCTTTCCAAGAAATCTCCATACTGCTTTCCAAATTGGCTGCACCAATCTGCAGTCCCACCAGCAATGTACAAGTGTACCCTTTTCCCCACATCCTCGCCAGCACTTGTTGTTGTTT